GCAGCAGGCCAGGTGCCCCACGGTGCAGGGACTGTCAGAGAGGTTAAATGGCAACCTCGAGTTTTCCTATTTCGTTGTGTTTTTACAACCCCAACTATTTTCAGATTCAGCTTTCTAAAACATTTGGTGGGGGGGGGGGGATGGGAGGACTAATTGCCACCACTGGAGGTGGCCCTCTGTGTAAGGACTGTCCACCAAACCCACACCACCTGCCTCTGCCTGGCTTAATTTTTACTTCCTTATTTACTTTTTAATTTTACGTGATTGAACCTAGGTATTGTGCAAATAAGGCAAGTGTTCTATCACTGAACCATACCTCTAGCTTCCTGACTTCCATACTCCTATGTTCCATTAATACCATCAACTGTGGAGGTTGCAGGCCCCTGCCATTGTTCCCAATGAGCTATGTGATGCCTACTATAGTATTTGAGAAGGCCAGGTAATGAATGTGGTGTCAGCAGACCTAGGGTGGTCGAGTTCCTAGTAGCAGAGAATACACTATGGGACCTCAGAGAAACCTATGGATCTTGGTTTCTGGAGGAGTCATGGGCCTCGGGCAAGGCTCTGAACTGCCTTTGAGCCAAGGGTAGTGAGGCTGGTCAGCTGTTGATTCCTTGAGTGGCAACACTGTGGCTGAACATATCCTATGGTGTTGGTAGTTATTACTCTCATCCTTCAGGTGAGGAGACTAAGGCCCAGACAGGGAAGAACTTTGCCTCCAGCCAAAGAGCAACTGGAGGAGTTCAAAACCTGCCCACATTCAGATGAAATGACATGTAAACCATTTAGTGCCAGGTCTGGCATGTCACCAGGGCATGGCACACATCAGTGTGAGGGAAGACTGTGCATCAACTTGACTGAGCCCTGTCCAGAGCCTGAATAAAGAGAGCTGTGCCGTCGGGCATGGTGGCGCACGCCTTTAATCCCAGCACTCGGGAGGCAGAGGCAGAGGCAGGTGGAGCTCTTGTGAGTTCAAGGCCAGCCCGGTCTACATGGTGAGTTCCAGGACAGCTAGGGCTACAGGGAGACCCTGTCTCAAAAAGACCAAAAAAAAAAAAAGATGGCTGTGCCAAGTGGTATGGGTCTAACTCAACCCACCAAAGGCCTGAATGGAACAAAAGGGTGGCACTGATTGCCCTCCAGCCCAGACACAGGCCCTTTCCTGCCATCAGACTCAGTCTGAAACATCAGCTCTTCTTGGGTCAACAGCCTGTGGACTGTAGCATCTACCATGAGCTCTTTCCAAATTGCAGTCCTTGGGAAATTCTTAGTCTACCATTGAAACAACTTTCTTTCTATTGAACCCTGTCAGTTCCTTGGAGAATAATTGGTGCTACCGATACCAGAACTGTCTCCTTTCTATGAAGCCAGTAACTACCTACCCTAATCCTACTGTAAACTAGGCACTGTGGGTTTATCAAATCCAACAGTGTTCATTGAGACTCACCAGGTGCTCAGGAGGGGTAACACATGGCCCCTGCTGCTCAGAGCACAGAGAGTAGCCTTTGGCAGCAACAGTGGCTATCACATTATACTTGGTAAGCAGTTGTGAGCCCCCATTCCCCATCATGACAAAAACGAGCAAAATGGAATTCATTTATTATTGTGAGATTTATGGCCAAGTCTTTTAAACTTTTAAAAATAAACCTGTCGTCATGGTAACCCTCTTAAAACAAGATGTGACCTGGCTTGGAGAACCTGCGAGTTAATTACAATAGTGCTTTGTATTTAGCTCCATCTTTCTTCTGAGTTTAATGGACCTCACTCATTAAGCTCCACAAACATCCTCTGAAGTCTTTAGGGGACAGATCCTAGTAAACCCATTTTACAGATGTATACACCAAGGAACGGGCAGGTTAAGTGACTGTGCTACTAACTGGCAGCTTAGCTGTGAGCAAGTCCAGGCCAGACCCAATTCTCCTCGTTTCCTCTGTTGTCTTTACTAACAGACTTCATCCTGGCTTTGGGAAGCCCTCCATCATTAAAGGATTACAGTTTCTCACAGCCTGGTCTGGAGATCCCAGACTCTGCTGTCATCCATGTGCAAAGGCTGCTGGGCTTTAGAGGGAGTAGGGGTAGTAGCCAAGGGACAAGAGAGAAGGGAAGAGCTGCAGAGGCTGCACCCACCCATGAGGGGTGGCAGAACTAAGACTGTGGAGTACTGCTCATCTGGATGTCCCAAGGGACACAGAGCTGCTGTTAAGCTGCATCTATCCTAGTCTGAGTTCTCCCTCTGTGACAGCCACAGTTGCTGAAGCGATTTCCCTGAGCACCCCAGCAAACTCCATCTTTGGGTCTTAGCTGCAGCCCTGGGGTCCTTCGTTTGGCCACTATCTGTGACATTAGAAACACGTTTTCTGGCCTTGCTACCTCAGGACTGTTTTATAAGCTTCCCAGGGGCTTCTAACACACACACTAGTATCTGCCTAAAAGGTACTCAGTATTCTGACCTACAAGTCTTCTATTAAATCTCACCCTTTCCTTGGGGCCCATCTAGATTTCATTCCAGATTTCACTCAGTGACCAGTCTGTCCTGGCTCTCCTTACCCTGGAGAGTACTCACTGCCTGCAGTCTACCAACTGGATACTGTCTGTCTCTCTGTGAACACTTCACAAGAGCAGGGCCCTCTGCTTAGTAACTTGCAAGGAAGAATGTAAACGATGAAATGGAAGAACAGCATTTTGGGGGATGGATGAGTTTTGCTCTGAGCACTTTGAACTTGAGGTGGCAGAGGGCCACACATTTGGTAGTTGCTCTGGAAGGAAGAAGTGAAGGTTTACGAAAGAGATCCTGGAGCCTGTGCTGTGTGGGAGAGCTACAGGGAGACCAAGCAGGCTGAGGATGAAAAGGCAACGGCTGAGAGGGAGGTGAGGTTGGAGTCTGGTCCAAAGCCTGGCAAGACTGGAGTTGTGCTAGGGTAGAAAAGAGGAAAGACACAAGGAGGTGGGCTCCAGCAGGAAAAAGTGGTCACTGGGGGTGAAAGGACAGAGGCAGGAGTAAAGCAGTGAGGAGAGCTACAGGCTCACATTATAGTTCTACAGAACTCTGCAATGGCTAGAGGAGAGGACTGTGGGAGGTATTCCAGCTTGCGAGAGCATGTTGGAAAGGGCGAGAGGGCCAGTGAGTGAGCAGCAACTGCACAGTGAAGTTGAGAGCAGCGGGACAGGGAAGTCCATTAAAGCAAGTATCCCGGCCAGCTGGATACTTTTATACACTTAAGACCCCTTGAATCCTGCGTCTAGGAGTCATCATTCTGTCCTATGTCCAAAAGAAAGTCAAGGCTACTAGAAAAACATAGCTGGACTCCTTCCCGGCCTTCGGCTTTGAAGTTCCACCTGGGTTTACAAAACAGTCACAAACAGGGGCTGGGACTGACTGTCAGAGAATAATGACTTCCTCCTCTATAAGGTGTGTGTATGGAAACTCTCACTAAGCAGGAAGTGGGGAGCACAGCCTCCGCCCACCTGCAGGGGAGGTGACACCAGGGTGCCACAGCACTGGCCTGTATCCCTCCTGCAACGCCCACCTTTGGCTGGCATACCTCTATGAAGCCTATTCACTGACCATACATTTACACTGAACATAGACTATCTGGGTAGCATGCAGAACACTAGCCCCTAAACAGTTCATTCAAATATTACTAACTGCCAGGATTATGGCACTAATTAGTTTGGGAAAATTTTCACTTGAACAAAAATATTAATTTCAAGAAAATTTAGGTCTGAATTTTCCCCATATGTCCAAAGAGTAGTATCCTAAATCAAGTTATGCCTAAATATGAAGAAACTACAAATAAAAGACACATCTCATATCACCCAAGAAAAAGAAAACATATATAAATGTTTGGAGATGTCAAAGAAACAATCAAATACTTTTATATACTTAAAAACCACTTACTCTGGCAGGGCATGGTGGTGCATGCCTTTAATTCCAGCACTCAGAAGGCAGAGACAGGTAGGTGGATCTCTGTGAGGCTGAGACCGGCCTGGTTAACCTAAGAGTTCCAGGCCAGCTGGGGGTTACAAGGAGGCCCTGTCTCAAAACAACAATAATCACTTATTCTAGTTGCTGTCTTGTTGATATAGAGGACATCAGGGTCCCTTCTTGGGGTTCTTAGTCTCATTAGTAAAAGAATTTAAGAATGAACTTACATGGGAGTTTGAAGGCAACTTTATTGGAGTTTAAGATACCCTGCCCACCCCACAGGCAGGCAAGCTGTAAATCTCAGCAGCTGCCCAGAGAATGAAGGAGACGGGGAAAAACAGTTAAGCTGGCATTGATGTCAGACGCAGGGCAGAAACGCAGCTGTATGGCAGGAGGGGAGTTTTTAAAGGAAGAGTAAAGAAGCCCGAAGTGTTAGGGAGAATTATATGAGAAAAAAGGAGAGGCTATTCTCTTCTGGAGAAAAGTGGGCAGGCTTGTGAAGCTACATTGCTACAGCTTGGTAAGGAATTCTGGGAAGGAAAAGCATTGTCTCATGGTCAGGTGATTGATTTGACCAAACTGAAATGGTAGGTGTTTACCCAGACCAGAGAGATGCTAGACTCTTGACCAGAAGGCTTCTCTTAGTAGGACTCTATTGCTACTGCAACACTGTTCCACAGTTGGAAGAATTCAATTACTCCAAAATATAGCACATTCTTTGTTGGACTTTTCTAACTTTGGGGCCACAGAGATAAAGCCAAGTTTGAAAATCACTTCAAAACCAAACATATTGGGACTGGAGAGATGGCACAGGGGTTAAGAATACTGGCTGCTCTTGCAGAGGACTTGAGTTCAGTTCCCAGCATCCACATGGCAGCTAGCCAGTTATAACTACAGTCCCAGGACTTTTGATGCCCTCTTTTGGCCTCCATGGGCAATGCATGCACAGGTGCACTTACATACATGCAGACAAAACACTCATACACATAAGACAACATCAAAAAAAATCAAACCAAACAACAAATTAAAACACAGACATACTTTGCATTTGTTTTGTTTATTTTTACAAGTTTCCCTGAGGGTAACAAAATCTTTTTTAAAATCATTTATACAATGGCAGCTCTTCTTACATAAAATCTATTTTGCACTCTAATTTTGTGCTAAGGATACGACCTTTGGGGAGGAGGATTTAAAAAAACTGTTTAGTTAATTAAAACAAAACAATCCTGATGTTCAATAAATGTTTCAGTATACAATTTATCACACTATGAAGACCAGCAAGAGTTACAAGGCTAGCCTCACTGGCTTATTAGGTGAGAGGCAGGAACTCTCAGCTGGGAGCAGAGCCATTTATGTGAAATCAATTTAAGCTTTTTTGAAGGGCCAGATAAAGCAAGTGGAGCAGGATGGAACAGAACATTACCTTCAGTCAGAACCACCCAGTTAAGTTGCTTCTGAATCTAGACCCACTGTCACTATTAGGCAACTACTATTTAAACCACTAGGTTTTGGGGTGCTTTGTTACACAGCAAAACTATTCCATCTATTTACAGATACTACTACAGTAACTGACCACTCTCTAAGGTCATTTTTTCTCTTTTAAAAAATTACATTTATTTATTTATTTATGCATGCGTGTGCCATGGTGCAAGTGTGGAGGTCAGAGGATAATTTACAGGAGTCAGGCTTTCTTCTTCATGTGGGTTCCAGACATGGAACTCAGGAAGTCAAGCTTGGCAGCAAGAACCTTTACCCAATGAACCATCTTGCCAGGGTTTTAAAAAGATATTATATTGAGCATCATTTTAATCTTGGCATGCTGGCACTGGGGCGTGACAATTTAGAGTGGAGCTGACCTGACAAAGGAGGCCTGGGGGAGAGTGTTCTGGGCAGAGACAACGGAATGTATAAAGGCTGTGGCTTGAGAGAATGCCTGGAATGTTTTAGAAACAGGAAGGTCAGTGGAAGACAGTAGAGAATAACAAGAGGCTATGTCCAGCCAGGCTACCAGGGGACGCAGGATGTTATAGAGTGAGAAGACAGCCACAGGAGCCTTGAGAGGAGGGACCTGGTCCTTACTCTTTGGCACTGAATCTTTTCTGAGCCCCTCACCCCTGGTCTATAGTTGCTGCAGTTGGCCCTATGTCAAGGACAACTCCTCCCCAGCCACTGCTCAGGCCAAACATTGCATTACATGCTGGCCTCACCTTTCCACATCCTGTGTGTTCATTCTGCACACCTGCCAACCCCACCTTCAAAATCACCAGGGCCGCTGGCCACTAGTCCAGGGTCAGGAGGCCTCCACTGGGGCTCCCTAAAGGGTGTCCCTGCCCCAACTCCATCCCCACCTCCATTCTTCTGGCAGCTGGAGAATGAGGGATATGGACCATTCACTCATGAGATGGGAAGCCCATATTATTATCCTAAGAACTTTGGTCATTTCACCACAGGTAAAATAGAATGGGTATGGATGTACTGAGCAGAATGTTATTAAGACTAATCAAAGTACATTACAAAATATTTGCTCCTCCTTTTCTGACAAATGATGGTTAAAAAAGAGGATGAAACACTTTCCACAATTAAAATACTCTCTCAAATCTCATTATAAAAGAAAGAATTGAGCTGGGTGTGGTGGTCGACACCTTTTACTGAGGTGAGCCTCATCTACATAGTGAGTTCCAGGCCAGCTGGGGCTACAGGAGACACTACTTCCAAAAAAACCCAAAAATCCCCCCCCAAAACAAAGGAACTGAAAACAGAAACATTTTCAGTTTTGCTACAGATGTTTCATAAAGTTATTATATACATTAAAAAATAACAAGGTGCCCAGCTCCAACTGATACATCTACAATGCAACCCCTTTACCTACGGCTCAGGGAACATCAATCGAAGAGGGGGCCAAAAGACCACAAGAGTCAGAGGACCAGGACATCTGCTGCTAGACATGTAACAGGGATGCTGCCCCCATAAAATCTCAACAATGCAGTGGCCTAAACACGATGGCTCACTAGGCAAAGGCACTTGCCACTCAGCCCGAACAACTGAGTTCAATCCCTGGAACCCATGTAAATGTGGAAGGAGAGAAAACTCCACAAAGCTGTCCTCTGATCTCTACATGTACACCATGGCATGTACATGCCCATGCATATAAGATACAAAATGAATAAATAAAGGTTTAAAAAAAAAAGATTTTAAAAAAGCAACTGGATGCTGGGGCCCTATCCTTCAAGGGTAGCTCATGGACAGAGCTCAGGGGAAGAAGCTGGAGGAACATGCAATGGGGTGTAAGGACTCTAACAGTCAGAAGACTCATACCACAGCACAAGGTGGGCTGGTGCCAAAACCCAAGAATCTTTCTTATGGCTGTGCCTTAAACACAAAACCCTCCCCACTCTTCTTAGTATACATTATTTCTCAGACCACAAGTGGACACATGACCCAGTGTCCCCTGTGTGCAGAGCAAACTAATCTGTGCAGAAGCAGCTGGGCATGGGAAGGCAGGTGAAGAATGATGCTGGAGAAGGGAGAAAGAAGAAACTGAAGAGACAGGAATCAGACTGCAAGTGGAGGGAGACACCGTGACTGAATCTCAACCCATGCCCTCTCCACAGTATCCTCAGACTGTGCTGTGCGTTCTGTCCGGTAGATATGCCACGTTAGGGTCTACCAAGTACAGTCCAAAGAGTTTCCATTTCGCTTGTACACAAAGGAAAAGAAAATTGGATAAAGGCACCTGAAAACTACAGAACCCAAAGGTAAATTTTAAATGAATAAAAGGCAAGATTTCCTAAAAAGTCATGCAAAGGAAAGCATTTACTTTTAGAAATGTTTTCTCTAGCAAGTTTATTTTTAATTGCAGCACTGTTTTGGCAGAAAAACATATTTAAGTTTGTGCCAAGCTAAAAAGAATAGCCAGTAGCTTCCATCCATTGTTTATTAATTTGTGCTGTCAATATAAAAATAGTTTTGAAAATACCCTAAACTAATATAGAAGCAAGCAAACAAGCCTGCCAACATAAACTCATGGACACAAATAGGGCCAATCACAGGTACCAGGTAAAACAGGGGTGGGACTTGTGGGTAGTTCAATCCTGAGTGGCAGTGGACACTGGAAGAAAAATTTCTAGAGCATGATGAATCCTTGTTTTTAGCAGAGGATAAACTTTTCAATACATGGTATACCTTTACAATATTAAAAATGATGATCTTATACCAAGGATAAAGGACAGTATTTATAAACTTAGAAAAAGCACCCTGGGGACCACTCCGGACTGGGTAATGGGGCCAGCTGTCACACTGCCAGCACCATGCACACACATCTGTATGGAACTTTAAACTGTGAGTTCTCTCCTCTGGGTTTGATACCTCTGTAAGAAGCCATGAGGAGAAATGCCACATCCTAGCTATGTGCAGGCCTGTATCCATGGTCAGTGAAAGGGCCGGCCTCTTCTGGGTCTGGACTTCAGGTGGCCAGCAGACCGGCGCAGCTTTTTCCTTTCTTGGCGATGCAGTTTCTCAGCCTCCTGTTGCTTCTTTTGCTGTTCAGACTAAAAGAAAGTGACGTGAGAGGAGGAAAAGAGAAAGGAAAGGTCCCGGTGATCCTCAGCATGCAGTAGCACAGCCACTAGTCTCGCTTGGTCCACGGAGCGATGCTGCCCAACTCAGCATTGTGTTCTGGCTGCTGGCTGCCAGCCTGCCCTAGCAGGAGCAGCATGACAAAAGCCAACTTCCACTGCCAGAACAGAAATTCTAAACCCTGGGGCAAGAGGAGAAGTGCACCCCCACCCCCACCAGCAGCCTGACCACAAAGTAGAGACTCCTGGGATGCTCTAAAGGAGTCACAAAGAGTCACCTACAGAAGGTGCCACTGCTTATAAAATGCCCCTCTACCCTGCTTGTAAGCCAGAACCACCAGTTTATTCACATTCTCTTAAAATCAAACAAAGTTATGTTACGACCCACACTTGACTAAACAACTCATTCATTAGGACTGGCTCCAAAGAGCTGTTGGATGCTAAAACAAAAAAACAAAACAGCAAACCTCCCCCTAAAGGACAGATTTGCTATGATTAAACCTTGACTGGCTTGGCAGACACCCCTTCCCCCAAGTTCATAGCTTCCACATGTACCAGGTGCTCCCCAGTAGCATGCCTATTCTCTGTAAAAAGAGAGGAGCTATGGAGTTTTAAGCCCACACAAATGCTGGTGGCTGCAGGGACCCGCCATGCACACTGGGGAGGCTGCCAGGTGGTGGCTGCACAGGGCAAGGCCCGGCCTCAGAGACCCAAACACCTGCTGCACCTGCAGCTTTCACTACACACCTGCAGACAGTCACCAGTGCTTCTCTCTTGAAGGAAATGTCTCCCTCTATACTCACTTCTGTGGGTATGACTGAGTTTAAATAGTGGGTGAGTAAAGACCAGGAAAGAACACTCACAGGCCTGAAGGGCCCCTCCCCCACTCTGGTGCTCTTTCTGAATATTATTTCCAGTTCTTTTCTGATTTCTTCCTGTGCGTTTTCAAAACTAACCTTGCCCAGTGTGACCTTCTAAAGTTTAGCAAGAATGCCTCCTTGTACTCTACCCGAGGTTCTCACCTGGCCCAAGTTGCAGATGCATCCTTCCTTACTAGGCCCTGTGGGAGCTGTGTCTTCCTGGCCTTGCCTCCTTTAATGTCCTTTAGTCCACTCCCCTGGCCATGGCTAGCATGTGTTTATATACATACATACATACATACATACATATATGTATGAGAGTGTACTCCTATAGTATGGAAGTACACCCATGCCATACAATGCCTGCAGAGGCCAGAAGAGGGTGTCAGATTCTCTGGAACTGGAGTTTGGGCAGTTGTTAGCCACCATGTGGGTGCTGGGTAGAACTTAGGTCCTCTGCAAGAGCAGTCAGTGCTCTTAATCACTGAGCCAAGTCTCCAGCCCCAGTCAGCATACATTTTTTTTTGATTTTTTAAAATTTAATAACCACATGATTAGAAGAAGCATTTCATTACGGCTTTAACATATTCAGTTACACATTCCAGAGCAAGGATATACCTCTTTCAAAGGTAGCTGTAAATTTTTAGGTTCACAGTTGAATTAATACAGTCATACAATATAAAAATGCTGTAAGTTCAGGCCTCTGCTTCCTAAAATGCCCTAGATTCCTTGCCACAGGCTCTCACAGCCCCTCCTTCAGAGCACTTCAAGTTTATTCTAGAACCAAGCGTGCCACTGTACCCTGTCTATTCTCTCAGCAGACAGAACTGTGGGGACAGCCCTGTGCTGGAGCAGAGCACTACTGGCTTCCTGTGTTAAAGAAAGGAAATCTGGGGCTGCACATGCCCTATACTGAACCATGACATCATCAAGACTCTCACAAAGTCAACAGTTATTTAATTCTGATGAGCAATGCTCTAGGTTTGTTCTGGCTAAGAGGAATGGGGGGCATGTTCTGTAGCTTCATAGTAACAAGTATCCCTAAAAAGGGCTATCCCTTCCCGTTTTTGGAGACAGTGTTTATGTAGCCCAGGCTGTCCTTAGACTCATGAACCTCCTGACTCAACCTTCCAAAGGCCTGGATTTGGAGTACAACCCAGGTATGTACTGCCATGCCTGGCTCTTAAAAGGCATTTCCTCAAATAATTTTGGAAAATGATGTATTAAACCCAGTCAGACAGGATGTCCAGGCACTTTTAGGCAAAGGGCTTCCTGGGGTCTTTGATGTGGACATGTGACCCTGAGGTTAGGGCACTCAACAGCACTGTGGGCAGCTCCTGCTAGCTTCTCTACCTCCTCTTCCAGGACAGGAGCTCCAGGAGGAGCTGGGAAGAGGCCACTATTGTTTTGCAGACAAAGCTTCCCACACACAAAGGACTATCATTAGCTTCTATCCCTAAGGCTGCATCTGGGAGACCTTGTCCGTGTGTCACCACTCATTATGATTTATGGGCCAATTAGTTCTTCTCCAAGTTGTCCTTTTCTCCTCCCCTTCTTCCCTGACCCAAGCTCCTGACTACCCTGCTGCAGTTCACAGCACTCTCATCATGGAGAGGGGGACAACACATGCCAGCTACCATCACATGAGCAACAGCTTTGATGAGGCACTACTTTGTGTTAGTGTAGATATTCTCCCCATGAATTTACTGATATTTTAGAAAGTACCTATGAACATACTGGGAAACCCTGTAAATTTACCTGAAAGTATCACCTACATTAAACATAGTATAAAAAGAAATTTCTATAAGCAAATACACAAGCGTGTGTCTAAATATATAATTAACACCAAGAGTTTAATAATTAAGAGCATGTCAGTCAAGTCTAGATAAAACACATAAATCAAACATTAACTGATATAATATAGCCTCCCAAATAGTTTCTGTGCTGGATAGCTTTAGTGTCAACTTGACACACCTGGGTTGAGGGAGCCTCAATTGGGGAATTGCCTCCATACAACTGGCCTGTGGCCATGTCTGTGGGGCATCTTCTTGATTGTTGTGTGATGTGGGAGGGCCCAGCCCACTGTGGGTGGTGCCACCCCTGGGCAGGTGGGCCTGGGTTGCATAAGAAAGCAAGCTGAGCAGGGGCCAGGGGAGTGAGTCAGTAAACAGTGTCCCTCCATGGCCTGTGCTCCAGCTCCTGCCTCCAGGTTCCTGCCCTGAGTTCCTATCTTGGGCTCCCTGATGAACTGTGACCCAGGAAATGTAAGCCAAATAAACCCTTTCATCCCCAAATTGGTATTGGCGGGAGTGTTTTGTCACAGCAATGGAGAAACAAACTTGGAGAGTTTCAAAGCCTCCACTTGATTCAGCTCTGAGGTCACTTCACGCAGTTCCTAGTGCTTCTTCTCATCTTATTTTCATTTTACCACAAATTACCAAGTGGTCTCAACTCAGTGCCTTCCAGTGTCAAAGCAGAGAGAAATGGCTATTTTCTCACTTCTGCAAAACTGGTGCCTACTGACTAGCACTCTCCCACTGACCTATCTCCCCAGCTCTGGGATGATAAATTAGATAGTGAGATGGTTACAGACTTAGTGAATAGAAAGCACTGACTGAATTGTGGACTTTAAAAGAGGGAATTATAGCTATGGAGGTGTAGTTCAATTATAGAGTACTTGCCTAGCATGTGCAAGGATCTGGGCTTGATGCCAAGCACTGAAAAAAGAGAAAAATGAACAAGAGTGAGGAGACAGCACATTGTGAAAAAGTCATGTGTGACTTTTTGAGTGCACATGTGTGAAAGTCACCATCACCTCCAGTTGTGTCCACAAGGGATAGGTGTGGGGTGCATTGCATTTAAAACTGCAGTGTACATGCATTTTTCGTCCATTTTTCTAAACTTCACTTAAAGAATGAATCAAATTCCCTTGCTCAGATGTCTAGGGCTGTATTTCTTTTCTTACCCTGTGTTCTTGGTTCTAGACTATTTCTACAATCATGGAACAAGAACAGAGTTGCACTGCAATCTGTCATAGAGCTCCATGTATAGTGATCATGGATCAGCTTTTAAGAGTAAAAGAGAAGGACCTGTCTGCAAGGACAAAACAAGGTGGCATCTAGTAGACTGTAGGCAGTAAAGTAACAATGAGCCCACCCTGCTCGCTCCACTACGGAGAAACGTCTAGCATAGCAAGTAGTTTCAGATACTCATTTTTCACTTAAAAATTCTGATATACATTTCAGACTGACAGAGTTTTAGAAAACTGAAAGAAATCCTTTGTCAGTGTATGTATTCCTACGTAAAACACATGATTTCTCCTGTGTATATCTTTAAAATTTTTAAATAAAAAACTGAATTTTATGGCATGTAAATTATATGTCAATTTGGAAAAAGAACCACAAGTGGTAGGTTGGCATTCTTCTCTATTTGGGGACTATGTTGAGGGGGAGTGACTAGAAATGAGAAAAAGGTTTATTTGAGAAACGAGGCCATGTTGTTTTACCTATTAGCAAACAGCAAATGTTTAAGCAACTTAGTCCTCCCTCCTAGAATATGCAAAAAGCCTTATTATTATAGCTAGTTTAAGAAATAGATCTTGGGGCTGAAGCGTGGCTCTGTAGTTAATAGCACTGGAGGCTCTTGCAGAGGACCCAGGTATGGTTCCCAGTACCCACATGATGGCTAACAACCATCCATAACTCCAGTTTTAGGGGATCTGATGCCCTCTTCTGGCCTCCATAGGCACTGTATACATGTGGTACACTTATATACATGCCAATAAAATACTCATACACATAAGATAAATAAAATATAACACAAAAAATTAAAACAAATGGCTTTTATAAGTCAATTTAGAATAGATTATCATTGGCAGAACAATGCACCCTGGGAAATGATTGTGTTTGGGTGAGCCAGATGGGACCACCATAAGGCATCACAGTCAGCCAGTTCCTAGTCTCCTTCATGTAAGTACTGCATGTTTTTATACCCTTTAATAGCCAAGCTGCAACTTAGGCCACACACTGACTGGGGGCCTACCTTTTTCTATATCAACCAATACTCCCAGCTCTTCTTGCCTGGCTGCCAATCAGCAGAGTTTCTGACTTTGGGGAAAATGGTGGAACAGGGAACAGTTTCCTCCAAGAGAAAAGCTTGGGAAGGCAGCCCTGAGCCAGATACATACCCAACATGATCGGAGCCCAGTTTTTCTTCATGAATTTTAAAAAATAACATCAAGAAACAACTCACCCTTTTGAGTGTGAACGTCAGCTGCTTGCTGCCAACAGTGGTGTCTGATACACTCAATGTCCCATTTTTGGCTTCAAGTTTCAAACGATTTTCAAGGGTTTTGCTGTAGGAAATTTAAAGAATGACAGGTTAACATTATGCTTTGATTTACCATTTGAAACAAGTTTAAACTAGTATTGAAGAAAAGTCTATTACATATGTGGTAAACAGAAAATAACACTCATTCGACAGAATCCAGAAGAATCTGCATAAATACACTGTAAAAACAATAGCTGACAAAAATACCACTTACCTGAATATTTAAGGAACTAGATTCCAATGACTGTCATTCATCTTACTACACTATATTTCTGAAGTCAAAGTGCAAGGAACAATGTTTCTAGCATGCAATTTATAAATTTAAAAAATTTTGTGTGTATGAGTGTTTGGCTTGCATGTAAGCGTAACTAATGTATGTAAGTACGAGCAATGCCCATGGGGGCCAGAAAAGGGTGTCAGATCCCCTGAACCTGGAGTCACAGATGGTTGTTAGATGTTATGTGGGTGCTGGGAACCAGACCCAGGTCCTCTGCAAGAGCAGCCAATGCTGTTAACCATTGAGCCAGCTCTCCAATCCCCAGTGTACAATTTATCATGATGGTCTGTTGTGCTGATGACACTAAAGCATTTTATATTTAATCCCTGCACTAGTGAGATATAAACACACTAGCCACTTCTCTACTTTCTACAAAGGACTGAGTACAACCTGAGTTCTCAGCCACAGAGAACAGCCGAGATACCTTTGGTTTTTCATTTGTTCAGTCTTTTAAGTCACCATCTTACAGCATGTACAACCCGAACAGGAATCCATCTATTCTAGTGACAGGAAACAAAAGGGACTGTACTTTGGGTAAATTCTAACTGGTTTCTATTCAATGTGACTTCTGCTGGTATTTTAAGGTTTTGTTCTGATACACTTTATCCCCAATTAAATCTCATTTCACTTCTTGATCAAATTTCCCAAACTATTCTAAGTCTCTTTATACAATGGATGTCTCTGTTACTGTTTGGTGATGTATAATTCATTTTCTTCTTCATGACTAAAAATCTGTCATGTGCTCTGTGTGTGTGTGTGTGTGTGTGTGTGTGTGTGTGTGTATATACATGTACACATGCTAGGACAGAAGTTCATTCTAGGGCCCAGCCTGGCCTTGAATCTAGACAATCCTGCCTCGGTCTCTCTAGACTTGGAACTGCAGGCATGCACCTTGATGTCTGGCTCTCCAGTTCTAATACTAAACCTGAATTCTGAAACAGTTATTACATATAAAACTTAATTGCATATTACTAGAATGTTTTATCATAAATCAAAACATTGGTCCTTTTTTATTGTTTTTGAGGGGGAAAAAAAAAAAAAGACACCTGAATTAAGTCTAAATATACTTGCATACGGCTGACTGTTCCAGAAATGGCTAAAGCAGCACATCCCGTCTCATCCTCTGATGAGACAGGGGAGGGAACAAAAAGGAAAGAACAGCTTCCCCTGTTCAGAACAAGCAAGCACACAAAAACAAAGCAAAAGAAAGGCTTCCCTTTCCTCCCTTACCCTCAAGTGAGCCCTCAAAAAGACTGCCCTCAAAAAGGAACTACTAAAAGAGCTGACTGAATAAAAAGGAAAAGTTGGTTTGTGTGAAGTGTCTTCTGCTCCCTGAACTGGTCCCATACCTAATTACTGAGCAGAGAGATGCTCCTGAGGGAGTCTTTGACAGTGATGCTCCCCTGAGACTTTGAAGCCTATGTTTGATGTTCACACCAAGAGAAATTTATCTCATTTCATAACTATGAGTTCTGTACTAAATACACCTTCTTTATATAATTTGAGGCATAAAGTGGTTAGCATAAAAGTGGCACTATTTCTAAGCAATAATGTTATTAAGAAGCACTTTTAAAGCACTTTTCATCTTCAAAGTTCTTTACAGACTAACTAATTAATCCTTTCAACATCCCTGAGACAGAAGTATTTATCCTTTATAGATGGCAAAAAGGGAGGTAAAATGTTAAATGACTTGCCCCAGGCCATGTACGGATCCAAGTTTAAAACCAGGATTCCAGGGTAAGATTTCTGGTTTTCAGGCATGTGTCAAACCATACTTGATTTATACAGATCTGCTCAGGAAACTTGTTCATTGAGTGTTCTAAATCACAAGCTTCCGCATGACAAACTGGAAGAAATTAAAATCCAGTTTCACTTTTTTAATACAAGAATTCAAAAGTGAAGTACAAACTGACTAGCATGCATGTCAACTGTCTGCCTGAGCAGATTCCTCAACCTGTTCATTTTTGTTCTTTCCTTTCATAGCTATAAACAGTGAGCTTCAAAGTTAACAGGAATTCTGAACAACTATGGAGCAACTGAGACAAAGTGGGGCACAGAGAACCTTAATTTAGGAAGCAAAAGAACTTTTTAAGTAAATTGTGGGAAATTACTACTCTTAAGAATGACCTTATTTCCTCCATGATAGAGTATATAAACTCTGGTTTTCTCTCAATGTACTTTCCACTTGTGCTTGTAAAAACTTGTTCTGTCTAGGCTACTTGGAGAGGCAAGCTGAGTTTTAGAAGGAGTCATGGCAGAAGATCAGAGGCAGCCAGGGACGGTGTACAGATTTCTACATTAAACAAGCTCTACTTCCCTCTCTTTGAAAGTCAGCTTGCTGAGTGTGGCTACCCCCCAGGTCAGTGTCTGCTGCTTGGTATAACTGGTCAGAGATGACTTAGGAAGCAGATGCAGCAATACTTGAGAGCCCAGACTGAGAGACAGGATGTAGAGAAGCGCAGGACCAGGAGGACAGCCTGGCACCCTTTCCCAGAGGCCCGCTGTCTCCCCAATGCAGGCTTCAAGTCTACAGCAGACTGAGGACTTTCTAATTGATAAAGTATTTTAGGGAGAAAAAGAATCTAAGTAGGACAAGGTAAGAAAAAAATTGCGATTGCTAAAAAACAATGTAAGAATTAAAAGGCTGGAAATGGGATTACACAGCTACTCAGGGAGGAATGCAGAGGCCACTCAGGAAGAGCCTAAATGATCAGTAAGGATACCTTAAAATAAAAAAGAAAAATGGGCACAAACTACAAAGGAAAAAAAATCATGTGAGATATTTATTAGATGCCCCAAGAAAGGAGAATGGCTCACTTGAGGTTTTAAAATATAAATATATTCTACAATTTCTCAAATTAGCAACATTTAATTAAAAATTATGCTCCTCAACTGGATTTTTTAATCACTTTGCAGAATAGCAGAGGAAAACATAGTCACATTCCTTAGTACAGAATCTAAATTTAAGCAACCAAGAAATCTGATGCCTCCTCTATGAGCACAATTAACGTTCAACACGATTGAACACCGAGGTTGCCACAGGTGTTGGGAAACAGGTACTCTGCTAAGACTGCGAAGTGCGGAGGCTTTGGAGGGCAGTCTGCCAGTACCTGTCACACCCCTCTTCTGATCTAGAATGCATCACTGAGAACACATTCTGAAGAAATATTGTACATGTGCACATTTATAGCTGAGAGCAAAGAACACAAGGAAACAACCTACATGTACACAGAGGAATGGCTCCATGAAGTACCACACACCCATCCTAAGGACTATTTCATGTGCACATTTATAGCTGAGAGCAAAGAACACAAGGAAACAACCTACATGTACACAGAGGAATGGCTCCATGAAGTACCACACACCCATCCTAAGGACTATTTGTGAAGCCATGAAGTAGACTAACTGTATCCACAAGCACATTTTCCAAGACTTATTGCTAAGTGAAAAGAACAAGTTCAACAATCTAATCAGCATGATTTGTACACTCTGAGGGAGAAGTATAACTGTGCATGTCTGAGTGTGGACATCCAAGGAGTGAGTGCACTATGAAGGAAGAAAGGTGTGCACAGTGATGCTGCCTGACAGGCTCACTCTTTGGCATTACAGGCTTAATATACTCACATATGACTGACAAACACCATCACAGGCGTATAAGTTCGGGATCAATATAAAAATTAGGTTTTTGAAGTTGGACCTGATGGCGCATGCCTGAAATCCCAGTACTTGGGAAGCTGAGGCGGGAGGATCACGAGTTCCAGGCCAGCCTGAGCTACATTGCAAGACCGTCTCAAAAAAATTGGTGGATAACAACAGTCTAAAACTCCAGTTCCAGGGAGTTCAACACTTTCTTCTGACATCCACGGGCATTGCATAACACGGGTACACTTACATACATACAGACAATGCACTTATACACATAAAATAAAAATAATAAATATTAAAAATAATGATGCTCTAAACTCTTGTACATAAGTTCAGCTTTACCCACGTCAGTGAGGGAAACCCTTGTAGATAATGTGGTATCCGTGACAAGATGCTCATTCAGGGCTCTAACTACCCACTGAAGATTAACTCCTTAAAGTGGGAACCACTTTAGAAAATCACTGAATTCCCAGAATTGACCCCAGAGCAGCACTTCAGAAAATACTTCTACACAGTGAACCAGTGCTGCCCAGCAGCTCAAATTCATGACCCACGAGGAGACAGCCTCACCACCAATGAACATGGTGTTCTCAGTTTGAACTCTTTCGCTTCTGTCCTTCAGTACTTTGCCCTTCAGGCCCCAGTTTTCCCAGACATCAGGGAAGGTCCATCTATGTGCCCATAATGAGGTAAGCAAGCAGCACTTTCTATCACCAGCACAGTTATTCCCCCACACGCTGACCTCTGGCCCTGTGTTCTGAGGATGCACGCCTGCCCTTCTGAGGCTTTCCTTGACAAGGCTACTGGCTCCATTTCCCTCTGCTTCCTTACCAAATCTATTATCAATGAACTCCGTTCTCTCCTGCGTTACCCGAGTCCTGTGGTCGAGTCCTCCCTGCCCAGCAACAAATCCCCCTCTCAAGCCTAAAAGAACTTCCCCATCACTGACAAATCTTTTGGGAACAATCAACCACACTAATTGTTTTTTAAGAGTTTAAAGATTGCTTGCCCATTCACCAATCCATTCCAGTGAGACATCTGGTCTGAGAAAGTCCTAAATGCAATCCTCACACCATGGCTCTGCTCAACCTCGGCACCGTGGT